AAATGCCATTTTCTTTCTATTCTGGAGGCTACAGATCACGGAATTAGGCCGAGGCTATTCTCCACCGATAATGAACTCTATTGATCCTATTCTCCACAGATGATAAGTCCGTTAAGCATCGATTTGGGCCAATTTATTGTTCGGATGGCATTTTCGTAATTTCTTGGGCGACGAAAGGCCATTTTCTTTGGATATTGAAGGCTACAGATCAAGGATTCGGCCTGAGGCTATTCTCCAACGATGATTGAGTCCATTAAGCACCTATTTGGGCATATTTATTCCGGGTCAATTTTTGGCAGATTCCAAAGGGGTACCATCACTGATTTCCGGCGATTTATCCGAAATCCCATTTTCTTTCGATTCTGGAGGCTACAGATCACGGAATCAGGCCGAGGCTATTCTCCACCGATAATGAAGTCTATTGATCCTATTCTCCACAGATGATAAGTCCGTTAAGCATCGATTTGGGCCAATTTATTTTTCTGATGGCATTTTCGTAATTTCTTGGGCGACGAAAGGCCATTTTCTTTGGATATTGAAGGCTACAGATCACGGATTCGTCTGAGGCTATTCTCCAACGATGATTGAGTCCATTAAGCACCTATTTGGGCGGATTTATTCCCGGTCAATTTTTGGCAGATTCCAAGGGGTGAACCATCACTGATTTCGGCCGATTTATCGGTAATGCCATTTTCTTTCGACTCTGGAGGCTACAGATCACGGAATCAGGCTGAGGCTATTCTCCACCGATAATGAAGTCTATTGATCCTATTCTCCACGGATGATAAGTCCGTTAAGCATCTATTTGGGCCAATTTATTTTCGGATGGCATTTTCGTAATTTCTTGGGTGACGAAAGGCCATTTTCATTGGATATTGAAGGCTACAGATCACGGATTCAGCCTGAGGCTATTCTCCAACGATGATTGAGTCCATTAAGCACCGATTTAAGCGGATTTATTCCAGGTCAATTTTTGGCAGATTCCAAAGGGGTACCATCACAGATTTCGGGCGAATAATCCGAAATGCCATTTTCTATCGATTCTGGTGGCTACATATCACAGAATTAGGCCGAGGCTATTCTCCACCTTTAATGAAGTCTATTGATCCTATTCTCCACAGATGATAAGTCCGTTAAGCATCTATTTGGGCAAATTTATTTTTCGGATGGCATTTTCGTAATTTCTTGGGCGACGAGAGGCCATTTTCATTGGATATTGAAGGCTACAGATCACGGATTCGGCCAGAGGCTATTCTCCAACGATGATTGAGTCCATTAAGCACCGATTTAAGCGGATTTATTCCAGGTCAATTTTTGGCAGATTCCAAAGGGGTACCATCACAGATTTCGGGCGAATAATCCGAAATGCCATTTTCTTTCGATTCTGGTGGCTACAGATCACAGAATTAAGCTGAGGCTATTCTCCACCTTTAATGAAGTCTATTGATCCTATTCTCCACAGATGATAAGTCCGTTAAGCATCTATTTGGGCCAATTTATTTTTCGGATGGCATTTTCGTAATTTCTTGGGCGACGAAAGGCGATTTTCTTTGGATATTGAATGCTACAGATCCCGGATTAGGTCTGAGGCTATTCTTCAACGATGATTGAGTCCGTTAAGCACCGATTTGGGCGGATTTATTCCGGGTCAATTTTTGGCAGATTCCAAAGGGGTACCATCACAGATTTCCGGCGATTTATCTGAAATGCCAATTTCTTTCGATTCTGGAGGCTACAGATCACAGAATCAGGCCGAGGCTATTCCCCAACGATAATGAAGTCTATTGATCCTATTCTCCATGGATGATAAGTCCGTTAAGCATCGATTCGGGCCAATCTATTTTCGAATGGCATTTTCGTAATTTCTTGGGCGACAAAAGGCCATTTTCTTTGGATATTGAAGGCTACAGATCACGGATTCGGCATGAGGCTATTCTCCAAGGATCATTGAATCCATTAAGCGCCGATTCGACCAGATTTATTCTGGGTCAATTTTTGGCAGATTCCAAAGGGGTACCATGACAGATTTCAGGCGATTTATCCGAAATGGCATTTTCTTTCAATTGTGGAGGCTACAGATCACGGAATCAGGCTGAGGCTATTCTCCACCGATAATGAAGTCTATTGATCCTATTCTCCACAGATGATAAGTCCGTTAAGCATCGATTTGGGGCTATTTATTTTCAGATGACATTTCCGTAATTTCTTGGGATACGAAAGGCCATTTTCTTTGGATATTGAATGCTACAGATCACGGAATCGGCCTGAGGCTATTCTCCAAGGATCATTGAGTCCATTAAGCACCGATTCGGGCAGATTTATTTAGGGCCAATTTTTGGCAGATTCCAATGGGGTACCATCACAGATTTCGGGCGATTTATTCGAAATGCCATTTTCTTTCGATTCTGGAGGCTACAGATCACGGAATCAGGCCGAGGCTAGTCTCCACCGATAATGAACTCTATTGATCCTATTCTCCAAAGATGATAAGTCTGTTAAGCATCGATTTGGGCCAATTTATTTTTCGGATGGCATTTTCGTAGTTTCTTGGGCGACGAAAGGCCATTTTCTTTGGATATTGAAGGCTACAGATCAAGGATTCGGCCTGAGGCTATTCTCCAACGATGATTGAGTCCATTAAGCACCTATTTGGGCAGATTTATTCCGGGTCAATTTTTGGCAGATTCCAAAGGGGTACCATCACTGATTTCCGGCGATTTATCCGAAATCCCATTTTCTTTCGATTCTGGAGGCGACAGATCACGGAATCAGGCCGAGGCTATTCTCCACCGATAATGAAGTCTATTGATCCTATTCTCCACAGATGATAAGTCCGTTAAGCATCGATTTGGGCCAATTTATTTTTCGGATGGCATTTTCGTAATTTCTTGGGCGACGAAAGGCCATTTTCTTTGGATATTGAAGGCTACAGATCACGGATTCGGCCTAAGGCTATTCTCCAACGATGATTGAGTCCATTAAGCACCTATTTGGGCGGATTTATTCCGGGTCAATTTTTGGCAGATTCCAAAGGGGTACCAACACAGATTTCGGGCGATTTATTCGAAATGCCATTTTCTTTCGATTCTGGAGGCTACAGATCATGGAATCAGGCCGAGGCTATTCTCCACCGATGATGAAGTCTATTGATCCTATTCTCCACGGATGATAAGTCCGTTAAGCATCGATTTGGGCCAATTTATTTTTCGGATGGCATTTTCGTAATTTCTTGGGCGACGAAAGGCCATTTTCTTTGGATATTGAAGGCTACAGATCACGGATTCGGCCTGAGGCTATTCTCCAACGATGATTGAGTCCATTAAGCACCTATTTGGGCAGATTTATTCCGGGTCAATTTTTTGGCAGATTCCAAAGGGGTACCATCACTGATTTCCGGCGATTTATCCGAAATCCCATTTTCTTTCGATTCTGTAGGCTACAGATCACGGAATCAGGCCGAGGCTATTCTCCACCGATAATGAAGTCTATTGATCCTATTCTCCACAGATGATAAGTCCGTTAAGCGTCGATTTGGGCCAATTTATTTTTCGGATGGCATTTTCGTAATTTCTTGGGCGACGAAAGGCCATTTTCTTTGGATATTGAAGGCTACAGATCACGGATTCGGCCTGAGGCTATTCTCCAACGATGATTGAGTCCATTAAGCACCTATTTGGGCGGATTTATTCCGGGTCAATTTTTGGCAGATTCCAAAGGGGTACCATCACTTATTTCGGCCGATTTATTGGAAATGCCATTTTCTTTCGATTTTGGAGGCTACAGATCATGGAATCAGGCCGATGCTATTCTCCACCGATGATGAAGTCTATTGATCCTATTCTCCACGGATGATAAGTACGTTAAGCATCGATTTGGGGCTATTTATTTTCGGATGGCATTTTCGTAATTTCTTGGGCGACGAAAGACCATTTTCTTTGGATATTGAAGGCTACAGATCACGGATTCGGCCTGAGGCTATTCTCCAACGATGATTGAGTCCATTAAGCACCGATTTGGGTGGATTTCTTCCGGGTCAATTTTTTGCAGATTCCAAAGGGGTACCATCACAGATTTCCGGCGATATATCTGAAATGCCAATTTCTTTCTATTCTGGAGGCTACAGATCACGGAACCAGGCCGAGGCTATTTTCCACCGATAATGAAGTCTATTGATCCTATTCTCCACAGATGATAAGTCCGTTAAGCATCGATTTGGGGCTATTTATTTTCGGATGACATTTTCGTAATTTCTTGGGCGACGAAAGACCATTTTCTTTGGATATTGAAGGCTAAAGATCAAGGATTCGGCCTGAGGCTATTCTCCAACGATGATTGAGTCCATTAAGCACCTATTTGGGCAGATTTATTCCGGGTCAATTTTTGGCAGATTCCAAAGGGGTACCATCACTGATTTCGGCCGATTTATCGGAAATGCCATTTTCTTTCAATTCTGGAGGCTACAGATCACGGAATCAGGCCGAGTCTATTCTCCACCGATGATGAAGTCTATTGATCCTATTCTCCACGGATGATAAGTCCGTTAAGCATCGATTTGGGCCTTTTATTTTTGGATGGCATTTTCGTAATTTCTTGGACAACGAAAGGCCATTTTATTTGGATATTGAAGGCTACAGATCACGGATTCGGCCTGAGGCTATTCTCCAACGATGATTGAGTCCATTAATAACAGATTTGGGCGGATTTATTCCGTGTCAATTTTTTGCAGATTCCAAAGGCGTACCATCACAGATTTCTGGCGATTTATCCGAAATCCCACTTTCTTTCGATTCTGGAGGTTACAGATCACGGAATCAGGCCGAGGCTATTCTCCACCGATAATAAAGTCTATTGATCCTATTTTCCACAGATGATAAGTCCGTTAAGCATCGATTTGGGGCTATTTATTTTCAGATGACATTTCCGTAATTTCTTGGGCGACGAAAGGCCATTTTCTTTGGATATTGAAGGCTATAGATCACGGAATCGGCCTGAGGCTATTCTCCAAGGATCATTGAGTCCATTAAGCACCGATTCGGGCAGATTTATTCAGGGTCAATTTTTGGCAGATTCCAAAGGGGTACCATCACAGATTTCGGGTGATTTATTCGAAATGCCATTTTCTTTCGATTCTGGAGGCTACAGATCACGGAATCAGGCCGAGGCTATTCTCCACCGACAATGAACTCTATTGATCCTATTCTCCACAGATGATAAGTCTGTTAAGCATCGATTTGGGCCAATTTATTTTCGGATGGCATTTTCGTAATTTCTTGGGCGACGAAAGGCCATTTTCTTTGGATATTGAATGCTACAGATCACGGATTAGGTCTGAGGCTATTCTCCAACGATGATTGAGTCCATTAAGCACCAATTTGGGCGGATTTATTCCGGGTCAATTTTTGGCAGATTCCAAAGGGGTACCATCACAGATTTCCGGCGATTTATCTGAAATGCCAATTTCTTTCGATTCTGGAGGCTACAGATCACAGAATCAGGCCGAGGCTATTCTCCAACGATAATGAAGTCTATTGATCCTATTCTCCATGGATGATAAGTCCGTTAAGCATCGATTCGGGCCTATTTATTTTCGAATGGCATTTTCGTAATTTCTTGGGCGACAAAAGGCCATTTTCTTTGGATATTGAAGGCTACAGATCACGGATTCGGCATGAGGCTATTCTCCAAGGATCATTGAGTCCATTAAGCGCCGATTCGACCAGATTTATTCTGGGTCAATTTTTGGCAGATTCCAAAGGGGTACCATGACAGATTTCGGGCGATTTATCCGAAATGGCATTTTCTTTCTATTGTGGAGGCTACAGATCACGGAATCAGGCCGAGGCTATTCTCCACCGATAATGAAGTCTATTGATCCTATTCTCCACAGATGATAAGTCCGTTAAGCATCGATTTGGGGCTATTTATTTTCAGATGACATTTCCGTAATTTCTTGGGCGACGAAAGGCCATTTTCTTTGGATATTGAAGGCTACAGATCACGGAATCGGCCTGAGGCTATTCTCCAAGGATCATTGAGTCCATTAAGCACCGATTCGGGCAGATTTATTCAGGGTCAATTTTTGGCAGATTCCAAAGGGGTATCATCACAGATTTCGGGCGATTTATTCGAAATGCCATTTTCTTTCGATTCTGGAGGCTACAGATCACGGAATCAGGCCGAGGCTATTCTCCACCGATAATGAAGTCTATTGATCCCATTCTCCACAGATGATAAGTCCGTTAAGCATCGATTTGGGCCAATTTATTTTTTGGATGGCATTTTCGTAATTTCTTGGGCGACGAAAGGCCATTTTCTTTGGATATTGAAGGCTACAGATCAAGGATTCGGCCTGAGGCTATTCTCCAACGATGATTGAGTCCATTAAGCACCTATTTGGGCATATTTATTCCGGGTCAATTTTTGGCAGATTCCAAAGGGGTACCATTACTGATTTCGGGCGATTTATCCGAAATCCCATTTTCTTTCGATTCTGGAGGCTACAGATCACGGAATCAGGCCGAGGCTATTCTCCACCGATAATGAACTCTATTGATCCTATTCTCCACAGATGATAAGTCCGTTAAGCATCGATTTGGGCCAATTTATTTTTCGGATGGCATTTTCGTAATTTTTTGGGCGACGAAAGGCCATTTTCTTTGGATATTGAAGGCTACAAATCACGGATTCGGCCTGAGGCTATTCTCCAACGATGATTGAGTTCATTAAGCACCTATTTGGGCCGATTTATTCCGGGTCAATTTTTGGCAGATTCCAAAGGGGTACCATCACTGATTTCGGCCGATTTATCGGAAATGCCATTTTCTTTCGATTCTGGAGGCTACAGATCACGGAATCAGGCCGAGGATATTCTCCACCGATGATGAAGTCTATTGATCCTATTCTCCACGGATGATAAGTCCGTTAAGCATCGATTTGGGCCTTTTATTTTTGGATGGCATTTTCGTAATTTCTTGGACAACGAAAGGCCATTTTCTTTGGATATTGAAGGCTACAGATCACGGATTCGGCCTGAGGCTATTCTCCAACGATGATTGAGTCCATTAAATACAGATTTGGGGGGATTTATTCCGTGTCAATTTTTTGCAGATTCCAAAGGGGTACCATCACAGATTTCGGGCGATTTATCCGAAATCCCATTTTCTTTCGATTCTGGAGGCTACAGATCACGGAATCAGGCCGAGGCTATTCTCCACCGATAATAAAGTCTATTGATCCTATTTTCCACAGATGATAAGTCCGTTAAGCATCGATTTGGGGCTATTTATTTTCAGATGACATTTCCGTAATTTCTTGGGCGACGAAAGGCCATTTTCTTTGGATATTGAAGGCTACAGATCACGGAATCGGCCTGAGGCTATTCTCCAAGGATCATTGAGTCCATTAAGCACCGATTCGGGCAGATTTATTCAGGGTCAATTTTTAGCAGATTCCAAAGGGGTACCATCACAGATTTCGGGTGATTTATTCGAAATGCCATTTTATTTCGATTCTGGAGGCTACAGATCACGGAATCAGGCCGAGGCTATTCTCCACCGATAATGAACTCTATTGATCCTATTCTCCACAGATGATAAGTCTGTTAAGCATCGATTTGGGCCAATTTATTTTCGGATGGCATTTTCGTAATTTCTTGGGCGACGAAAGGCCATTTTCTTTGGATATTGAAGGCTACAGATCACGGATTCGCCCTGAGGCTATTCTCCAACGGTTATTGAGTCCATTAAGCACCGATTTAAGCGGATTTATTCCAGGTCAATTTTTGGCAGATTCCAAAGGGGTACCATCACAGATTTCGGGCGATTAATCCGAAATGCCATTTTCTTTCTATTCTGTAGGCTACTGATCACAGAATTAGGCCGAGTCTATTCTCCATCGATAATGAAGTCTATTGATCCTATTCTCCACAGATGATAAGTCCGTTAAGCATCTATTTGGGCCAATTTATTTTTCGGATGGCATTTTCGTAATTTCTTGGGCGACGAAAGGCCATTTTCTTTGGATATTGAATGCTACAGATCACGGATTAGGTCTGAGGCTATTCTCCAACGATGATTGACTCCATTAAGCACCGATTTGGGCGGATTTATTCCGGGTCAATTTTTGGCAGATTCCAAAGGGGTACCATCACAGATTTCCGGCGATATATCTGAAATGCCAATTTCTTTCTATTCTGGAGGCTACAGATCACGGAACCAGGCCGAGGCTATTTTCCACCGATAATGAAGTCTATTGATCCTATTCTCCACAGATGATAAGTCCGTTAAGCATCGATTTGGGGCTATTTATTTTCGGATGGCATTTTCGTAATTTCTTGGGCGACGAAAGACCATTTTCTTTGGATATTGAAGGCTACAGATCACGGATTCGGCCTGAGGCTATTCTCCAACGATGATTGAGTCCATTAAGCACCGATTTGGGTGGATTTCTTCCGGGTCAATTTTTTGCAGATTCCAAAGGGGTACCATCACAGATTTCCGGCGATTTATCTGAAATGCCAATTTCTTTCTATTCTGGAGGCTACAGATCACGGAACCAGGCCGAGGCTATTTTTCACCGATAATGAAGTCTATTGATCCTATTCTCCACAGATGATAAGTCCGTTAAGCATCGATTTGGGGCTATTTATTTTCGGATGACATTTTCGTAATTTCTTGGGCGACGAAAGACCATTTTCTTTGGATATTGAAGGCTAAAGATCAAGGATTCGGCCTGAGGCTATTCTCCAACGATGATTGAGTCCATTAAGCACCTATTTGGGCAGATTTATTCTGGGTCAATTTTTGGCATATTCCAAAGGGGTACCATCACTGATTTCCGGATATTTATCCGAAATCCCATTTTCTTTCAATTCTGGAGGCTACAGATCACGGAATCAGGCCGAGGCTACTCTCCACCGATAATGAAGTCTATTGATCCTATTCTCCACAGATGATAAGTCTGTTAAGCATCGATTTGTGCCAATTTATTTTTCGGATGGCATTTTCGTAATTTCTTGGGCGACGAAAGGCCATTTTCTTTGGATATTGAAGGCTACAGATCACGGATTCGGCCTGATGCTATTCTCCAACGATGATTGAGTCCATTAAGCACCGATTTAAGCAGATTTATTCCGGGTCCATTTTTGGCAGATTCCAAAGGGGTACCATCACAGATTTCGGGCGATTTATCTGAAATGCCAATTTCTTTCGATTCTGGAGGCTACAGATCACAGAATCAGGCCGAGGCTATTCCCCAACGATAATGAAGTCTATTGATCCTATTCTCCATGGATGATAAGTCCGTTAAGCATCGATTCGGGCCAATTTATTTTCGAATGTCATTTTCGTAATTTCTTGGGCGACAAAAGGCCATTATCTTTGGATATTGAAGGCTACAGATCACGGATTCGGAATGAGGCTATTCTCCAAGGATCATTGAGTCCATTAAGCGCCGATTCGACCAGATTTATTCTGGGTAAAAAAAAAAAAAGATTCCAAAGGGGTACCATGACAGATTTCGGGCGATTTATCCGAAATGGCATTTTCTTTCAATTGTGGAGGCTACAGATCACGGAATAAGTCCGAGGCTATTCTCCACCGATAATGAAGTCTATTGATCCTATTCTCCACAGATGATAAGTCCGTTAAGCATCGATTTGGGGCTATTTATTTTCAGATGACATTTTCGTAATTTCTTATGCGACGAAAGGCCATTTTCTTTGGATATTGAAGGCTACAGATCACGGAATCGGCCTGAGGCTATTCTCCAAGGATCATTGAGTCCATTAAGCACTGATTCGGGCAGATTTATTCAGGGTCAATTTTTGGCAGATTCCAAAGGGGTACCATCACAGATTTCGGGCGATTTATTCGAAATCCCATTTTCTTTCGATTCTGGAGGCTACAGATCACAGAATCAGGCCGAGGCTATTCTCCACCAATAATGAAGTCTATTGATCCTATTCTCCACGGATGATAAGTCCGTTAAGCATCGATTTGGGCCAATTTACTTTCGGATGGCATTTTCGTAATTTCTTGGGCGACGAAAGGCCATTTTCTTTGGATATTGAAGGCTACAGATCACGGATTCGGCCTGAGGCTATTCTCCAACGATGATTGAGTCCATTAAGCACCGATTTGGGCGGATTTATTCCGAGTCAATTTTTGGCAGATTCCAAAGGGGTTCCATAACAGATTTCAGCCGATTTATCGGAAATGCCATTTTCTTTCGATTCTGGAGGCTACAGATCACGGAATCAGGCCGGAACTATTCTCCACCGATAATGAAGTCTATTGATCCTATTCTCCACGGATGATAATTCCGTTAAGCATCGATTTGGGCCAATTTATTTTCGGATGGCATTTTCGTAATTTCTTGGGCGACGAAAGGCCATTTTCTTTGGATATTGAATGCTACAGATCACGGATTAGGTCTGAGGCTATTCTCCAACGATGATTGAGTCCTTTAAGCACCGATTTGGGCGGATTTATTCCGGGTCAATTTTTGGCAGATTCCAAAGGGGTACCATCACAGATTTCCGGCGATTTATCTGAAATGCCAATTTCTTTCGATTCTGGAGGCTACAGATCACAGAATCAGGCCGAGGCTATTCCCCAACGATAATGAAGTCTATTGATCCTATTCTCCATGGATGATAAGTCCGTTAAGCATCGATTCGGGCCAATTTATTTTCGAATGGCATTTTAGTAAATTCTTGGGCGACAAAAGGCCATTTTCTTTGGATATTGAAGGCTACAGATCACGGATTCGGCATGAGGCTATTCTCCAAGGATCATTGAGTCCATTAAGCGCCGATTCGACCAGATTTATTCTGGGTCAATTTTTGGCAGATTCCAAAGGGGTACCATGACAGATTTCGGGCGATTTATCCGAAATGGCATTTTCTTTCAATTGTGGAGGCTACAGATCACGGAATCTGGCCGAGGCTATTCTCCACCGATAATGAAGTCTATTGATCCTATTCTCCACAGATGATAAGTCCGTTAAGCATCGATTTGGGGCTATTTATTTTCAGATGACATTTTCGTAATTTCTTGGGCGACAAAAGGCCATTTTCTTTGGATATTGAAGGCTACAGATCACGGATTCGGCCTGAGGCTATTCTCCAACGATGATTGAGTCCATTAAGCACCGATTTAAGCGGATTTATTCCAGGTCAATTTTTGGCAGATTCCAAAGGGGTACCATCACAGATTTCCGGCGATTTATCTGAAATGCCAATTTCTTTCGATTCTGGAGGCTACAGATCACAGAATTAGGCCGAGGCTATTCCCCAACGATAATGAAGTCTATTGATCCTATTCTCCACAGATGATAAGTCCGTTATGCATCTATTTGGGCCAATTTATTTTTCGGATGGCATTTTCGTAATTTCTTGGGCGACGAAAGGCCATTTTCTTTGGATATTGAATGCTACAGATCAATGATTAGGTCTGAGGCTATTCTCCAACGATGATTGACTCCATTAAGCACCGATTTGGGCGGATTTATTCCGGGTCAATTTTTGGCAGATTCCAAAGGGGTACCATCACATATTTCCGGCGATTTATCTGAAATGCCAATTTCTTTCTATTCTGGAGGCTACAGATCACGGAACCAGGCCGAGGCTATTCTCCACCGATAATGAAGTCTATTGATCCTATTCTCCACAGATGATAAGTCCGTTAAGCATCGATTTGGGGCTATTTATTTTCGGATGGCATTTTCGTAATTTCTTGGGCGACGAAAGACCATTTTCTTTGGATATTGAAGGCTACAGATCACGGATTCGGCCTGAGGCTATTCTCCAACGATGATTGAGTCCATTAAGCACCGATTTGGGCGGATTTATTCCGAGTCAATTTTTGGCAGATTCCAAACGGGTACCATCATTGATTTCGGACGATTTATCCGAAATGCCATTTTCTTTCGATTCTGGAGGCTACAGATCACGGAATCAGGCCGAGGCTATTCTCAACCGATAATGAAGTCTATTGATCCTATTCTCCACAGATGATAAGTCCGTTAAGCATCGATTTGGGGCTATTTATTTTCGGATGACATTTTCGTAATTTCATGGGCGACGAAAGAACATTTTCTTTGGATATTGAAGGCTAAAGATCACGGATTCGGCCTGAGGCTATTCTCCAACGATGATTGAGTCCATTAAGCACCGATTTTGCGTATTTATTCCGGGTCAATTTTTGGCAGATTCCAAAGGGGTACCATCACTGATTTCCGGCGATTTATCCGAAATGCCATTTTCTTTAGATTCTGGAGGCTACAGATCACGGAATCAGGCCGAGGCTATTCTCCACCGATAATGAAGTCTATTGATCCTATTCTCCACGGATGATAAGTCCGTTAAGCATCGATTTGGGCCAATTTATTTTCGGATGGCATTTTCGTAATTTCTTGAGCGACAAAAGGCCATTTTCTTTGGATATTGAAGGCTACAGATCACGGATTCGGCATGAGGCTATTCTCCAAGGATCATTGAGTCCATTAAGCGCCGATTCGACCAGATTTATTCTGGGCCAAAAAAAAAAAGATTCCAAAGGGGTACCATGACAAATTTCGGGCGATTTATCCGAAATGGCATTTTCTTTCAATTGTGGAGGCTACAGATCACGGAATAAGTCCGAGGCTATTCTCCACCGATAATGAAGTCTATTGATCCTATTCTCCACAGATGATAAGTCTGTTAAGCATCGATTTGGGCCAATTTATTTTTCGGATGGCATTTTCGTAAGTTCTTGGGCGACGAAAGGCCATTTTCTTTGGATATTGAAGGCGACAGATCACGGATTCGGCATGAGGCTATTCTCCAAGGATCATTGAGTCCATTAAGCGCCGATTCGACCAGATTTATTCTGGGCCAAAAAAAAAAAAAGATTCCAAAGGGGTACCATGACAAATTTCGGGCGATTTATCCGAAATGGCATTTTCTTTCAATTGTGCAGGCTACAGATCACGGAATAAGTCCGAGGCTATTCTCCACCGATAATGAAGTCTATTGATCCCATTCTCCACAGATGATAAGTCCGTTAAGCATCGATTTGGGCGAATTTATTTTTCGGATGGCATTTTCGTAATTTCTTGGGCGACGAAAGGCCATTTTCTTTGGATATTGAAGGCTACATATCAAGGATTCGGCCTGAGGCTATTCTCCAACGATGATTGAGTCCATTAAGCACCTATTTGGGCAGATTTATTCCGGGTCTATTTTTGGCAGATTCCAAAGGGGTACCATCACTGATTTCCGGCGATTTATCCGAAATCCCATTTTCTTTCGATTCTGGAGGCTACAGATCACGGAATAAAGCCGAGGCTATTCTCCACCGATAATGAAGTCTATTGATCCTATTCTCCACGGATGATAAGTCCGTTAAGCATCGATTTGGGCCAATTTATTTTCGGATGGCATTTTCGTAATTTCTTGGGCGACGAAAGGCCATTTTCTTTGGATATTGAAGGCTACAGATCACGGATTCGGCCTGAGGCTATTCTCCAACGATGATTGAGTCCATTAAGCACCGATTTGGGCGGATTTATTCCGAGTCAATTTTTGGCAGATTCCAAAGGGGTTCCATCACTGATTTCAGCCGATTTATCGGAAATGCCATTTTCTTTCGATTCTGGAGGCTACAGATCACGGAATCAGGCCGAAGCTATTCTCCACCGATAATGAAGTCTATTGATCCTATTCTCCACGGATGATAAGTCCGTTAAGCATCGATTTGGGCCAATTTATTTTCGGATGGCATTTTCGTAATTTCTTGGGCGACGAAAGGCCATTTTCTTTGGATATTGAAGGCTACAGATCACGGATTCGGCCTGAGGCTATTCTCCAACGATGATTGAGTCCATTAAGCACCGATTTAAGCGGATTTATTCCAGGTCAATTTTTGGCAGATTCCAAAGGGGTACCATCACAGATTTCGGGCGATTAATCCGAAATGCCATTTTCTTTCGATTCTGGAGGCTACAGATCACAGAATTAGGCAGAGGCTATTCTCCACCGATAATGAAGTCTATTGATCCTATTCTCCACAGATGATAAGTCCGTTAAGCATCTATTTGGGCCAATTTATTTTTCGGATGGCATTTTCGTAATTTCTTGGGCGACGAAAGGCCATTTTCTTTGGATATTGAATGCTACAGATCACGGATTAGGTCTGAGGCTATTCTCCAACGATGATTGAGTCCATTAAGCACCGATTTGGGCGGATTTATTCCGGGTCTATTTTTGGCAGATTCCAAAGGGGTACCATCACAGATTTCCGGCGATTTATCTGAAATGCCAATTTCTTTCGATTCTGGAGGCTACAGATCACAGAATCAGGCCGAGGCTATTCCCCAACGATAATGAAGTCTATTGATCCTATTCTCCATGGATGATAAGTCCGTTAAGCATCGGTTCGGGCCAATTTATTTTCGAATGGCATTTTCGTAAATTCTTGGGCGACAAAAGGCTATTTTCTTTGGATATTGAAGGCTACAGATCACGGATTTGGCATGAGGCTATTCTCCAAGGATCATTGAGTCCATTAAGCGCCGATTCGACCAGATTTATTCTAGGTCCATTTTTGGCAGATTCCAAAGGGGTACCATGACAGATTTCGGGCGATTTATCCGAAATGGCATTTTCTTTCAATTGTGGAGGCTACAGATCACGGGATCAGGCCGAGGCTATTCTCCACCGATAATGAAGTCTATTGATCCTATTCTCCACAGATGATAAGTCCGTTAAGCATCGATTTGGGGCTATTTATTTTCAGATGACATTTTCGTAATTTCTTGGGCGACAAAAGGCAATTTTCTTTGGATATTGAAGGCTACAGATCACGGATTCGGCCTGAGGCTATTCTCCAACGATGATTGAGTCCATTAAGCACCGATTTAAGCGGATTTATTCCAGGTCAATTTTTGGCAGATTCCAAAGGGGTAACATCAAAGATTTCCGACGATTTATCTGAAATGCCAATTTCTTTCGATTCTGGAGGCTACAGATCACAGAATCAGGCCGAGGCTATTCCCCAACGATAATGAAGTCTATTGATCCTATTCTCCATGGATGATAAGTCCGTTAAGCATCGATTCGGGCCAATTTATTTTCAAATGGCATTTTCGTAATTTCTTGGGCTACAAAAGGCCATTTTCTTTGGATATTGAAGGCTACAGATCACGGAATCGGCCTGAGGCTATTCTCCAAGGATCATTGAGTCCATTAAGCACCGATTCGGGCAGATTTATTCAGGGTCAATTTTTAGCAGATTCCAAAGGGGTAACATCACAGATTTCGGTCGATTTATTCGAAATGCCATTTTCTTTCGATTCTGGAGGCTACAGATCACGAAATCAGGCCGAGGCTATTCTCCACCGATAATGAAGTCTATTGATCCTATTCTCCACAGATGATAAGTCCGTTAAGCATCGATTTGGGGCTATTTATTTTCGGATGGCATTTTCGTAATTTCTTGGGCGACGAAAGACCATTTTCTTTGGATATTGAAGGCTACAGATCACAGATTCGGCCTGAGGCTATTCTCCAACGATGATTGAGTCCATTAAGCACCGATTTGGGCGGATTTATTCCGAGTCAATTTTTGGCAGATTCCAAAGGGGTACCATAACTGATTTCTGACGATTTATCCGAAATGCCATTTTATTTCGATTCTGGAGGCTACAGATCACGGAATGAGGCCGAGGCTATTCTCCACCCATAATGAAGTCTATTGATCCTATTCTCCACAGATGATATGTCCGTTAAGCATCGATTTGGGCAAATTTATTTTTCGGATGGCGTTTTCGTAATTTCTTAGGCGATGAAAGGCCATTTTCTTTGGATATTGAAGGCTATAGATCACGGATTCGGGCTGAGGCTATTCTCCAACGATGATTGAGTCCATTAAGCACCTATTTGGGAGGATTTATTCCGGGTCAATTTTTGGTAGATTCCAAAGGGGTACCATCACTGATTTCTGACGATTTATCCGAAATGGCATTTTATTTCGATTCTGGAGGCTACAGATCACGGAATTAGGCCGAGGCTATTCTCCACCCATAATGAAGTCTATTGATCCTATTCTCCACAGATGATAAGTCCGTTAAGCATCGATTTGGGCAAATTTATTTTTCGGATGGCATTTTTGTAATTTCTTAGGCGATGAAAGGCCATTTTCTTTGGATATTGAAGTCTACAGATCACGGATTCGGGCTGAGGCTATTCTCCAACGATGATTGAGTCCATTAAGCACCTATTTGGGAGGATTTATTCCGGGTCAATTTTTGGTAGATTCCAAAGGGGTACCATCACAGATTTCGGCCGATTTATCCGAAATGCCATTTCCTTTCGATTCTGGAGGCTACAGATCACGGAATCAGGCCGAGGCTATTATCCACCGATAATGAAGTCTATTGATCCTATTCTCCACAGATGATAAGTCCGTTAAGCATCGATTTGGGGCTATTTATTTTCAGATGACATTTCCGTAATTTCTTGGGCGACGAAAGGCCATTTTCTTTGGATATTGAAGGCTACAGATCACAGAATCGGCCTGAGGCTATTCTCCAAGGATCATTGAGTCCATTAAGCACCGATTTGGGCGGATTTATTCCGAGTCAATTTTTGGCAGATTCCAAAGGGGTACCATCACAGATTTCGGCCGATTTATCCGAAATGCCATTTCCTTTCGATTCTGGAGGCTACAGATCACGAAATCAGGCCGAGGCTATTCTCCACCGATAATGAAGTCTATTGATCCTATTCTCCACAGATGATAAGTCCGTTAAGCATCGATTTGGGCCAATATATTTTTCGGATGGTATTTTCGTAATTTCTTGGGCGACGAAAGGCCATTTTCTTTGGATATTGAAGGCTACAGATCACGGATTCGGCCTGAGGCTATTCTCCAACGATGATTGAGTCCATTAAGCACCTATTTGGGCGGATTTATTCCTTGTCAATTTTTGGCAGATTCCAAAGGGGTACCATCACTGATTTCGGCCGATTTATCGGAAATGCCATTTTCTTTCGATTCTGGAGGCTACAGATCACGGAATCAGGCCGAGGCTATTCTCCACCGATGATGAAGTCTATTGATCCAATTCTCCACTGATGATAAGTCCGTTAAGCATCGATTTGGGCCTTTTAATTTTTGATGGCATTTTCGTAATTTCTTGGACAACGAAAGGCCATTTTCTTTGGATATTGAAGGCTACAGATCACGGATTCGGCCTGAGGCTATTCTCCAACGATGATTGAGTCCATTAATCACAGATTTGGGCGGATTTATTCCGGGTCAATTTTTGGCAGATTCCAAAGGGGTACCATCACAGATTTCAGGCGATTTATCCGAAATGCCATTTTCTCTCGATTCTGGAGGCTACAGATCACGGAATCAGGCCGAGGCTATTCTCCACAGATAATGAAGTCTATTGATCCTATTCTCCACAGATGATAAGTCCGTTAAGCATCGATTTGGGGCTATTTATTTTCGGATGGCATTTTCGTAATTTCTTAGGCGACGAAAGGCCATTTTCTTTGGATATTGAAGGCTACAGATCAAGGATTCGGCCTGAGGCTATTCTCCAACGATGATTGAGTCCATTAAGCACCTATTTGGGCAGATTTATTCCGGGTCAATTTTTGGCAGATTCCAAAGGGGTACCATCACTGATATCCGGCGATTTATCCGAAATCCCATTTTCTTTCGATTATGGAGGTTACAGATCACGGAATCAGGCCGAGGCTATTCTCCACTGATAATGAAGTCTATTGATCCTATTCTCCACATATGATAAGTCCGTTAAGCATCGATTTGGGCCAATTTATTTTTCGGATGGCATTTTCGTAATTTCTTGGGCGACGAAAGGCCATTTTCTTTGGATATTGAAAGCTACAGATCACGGATTCGGCCCGAGGCTATTCTCCACCAATAATGAAGTCTATTGATCCTATTCTCCACGGATGATAAGTCCGTTAAGCATCGATTTGGGCCAATTTATTTTCGGATGGCATTTTCGTAATTTCTTGGGCGTCGAAAGGCCATTTTCTTTGGATATTGAAGGCTACAGATCACGGATTCGGCCTGAGGCTATTCTCCATCGATGATTGAGTCCATTAAGCACAGATTTAAGCGGATTTATTCCAGGTCAATTTTTGGCAGATTCCAAAGGGGTACCATCACAGATTTCGGGCGATTAATCCGAAATGCCATTTTCTTTCGATTCTGAAGGCTACAGATCACAGAATTAGGCCGAGGCTATTCTCCACCGATAATGAAGTCTATTGATCCTATTCTCCACAGATGATAAGTCCGTTAAGCATCTATTTGGGCCAATTTATTTTTCGGATGGCATTTTCGTAATTTCTTGGGCGACGAAAGGCCATTTTCTTTGGATATTGAATGCTACTGATCACGGATTAGGTCTGAGGCTATTCTCCAACGATGATTGAGTCCATTAAGCACCGATTTGGGCGGATTTATTCCGGGTCAATTTTTGGCAGATTCCAAAGGGGTACCATCACAGATTTCCGGCGATTTATCTGAAATGCCAATTTCTTTCGATTCTGGAGGCTACAGATCACAGAATCAGGCCGAGGCTATTCTCCACCGATAATGAAGTCTATTGATCCTATTCTCCACGGATGATAAGTATGTTAAGCATCGATTTGGGCCAATTTATCTTCGGATGGCATTTTCGTAATTTCTTGGGCGACGAAAGGCCATTTTCTTTGGATATTGAAGGCTACAGATCACGGATTCGGCCTGAGGCTATTATCCAACGATGATTGAGTCCATTAAGCATCGATTTGGGCGAATTTATTCCGGGTCAATTTTTGGCAGATTCCAAAGGGGTACCATCACAGATTTCGGCCGATTTATCCGAAATGCAATTTTCTTTCGATTATGGAGGCTACAGATCACGGAATCAGGCCGATGCTATTCTCCACCGATAATGAAGTCTATTGATCCTATTCTCCACGGATGATAAGTATGTTAAGCATCGATTTGGGCCAATTTATCTTCGGATGGCATTTTCGTAATTTCTTGGGCGACGAAAGGCCATTTTCTTTGGATATTGAAGGCTACAGATCACGGATTCGGCCTGAGGCTATTCTCCAACGATGATCGAGTCCATTAAGCACCGATTTGGGCGAATTTATTCCGGGTCAATTTTTGGCAGATTCCAAAGGGGTACCATCACAGATTTTGGAAGATTTATCCGAAATGCCATTTTCTTTCTATTCGAGAGGCTACAGATCACGGAATCAGGCCGAGGCTTTTCTCCACCAATAATGAAGTCTATTGATCCTATTCTCCACGGATGATAAGTCCGTTGAGTATCGATTTGGGCCAATTTATTTTCGGAAGGCATTTTCGTAATTTCTTGGGCGACGAAAGGCCATTTTGTTTGGATATTGAAGGCTACAGATCACGGAATCGGCCTGAGGCTATTCTCCAAGGATCATTGAGTCCATTAAGCAGCGATTCGGGAAGATTTATTCTGGGTCAATTTTTGGCAGATTCCAAAGGGGTACCATCACAGATTTCGGCCGATTTATCCGAAATGCAATTTTCTTTCGATTATGGAGGGTACAGATCACGGAATCAGGCCGAGGCTATTCTCCACCGATAATTAAGTATATTCTCCTATTCTCCACAGATGATAAGTCCGTTAAGCATCGATTTCAACCAATTTATTTTTCGGATGGCAATTTCGTAATTTCTTGGGCGACGAAAGGCCAT